GCAGCGCTGCGCTGCGCCGCGCCGCGCCGGCGGGTTGCGGGAGGCCGGTGCCTGGGCCGGGGGCAGGGAGGTGGGAGCCCCTCCATGCATCCCTCCCTCTCCCCGGGGAGCAGGCCCAGGAAGAGCGTGGCTGCGGGGCCGTGACTCTTCTTTCCCTGCGCGGGAGTGCGGGCTCTGCCGCGACGGGGGTGGCAGGTGCGCCCCGGGAGGGGCGAGTAGCCGGGCTGCCCTGCGGTCGGGCTGCATGCCCGTCTGGACAGCTGGTGGCGTCTCCATCCCGGGGGTTTAAGACCTAAAGCCCCGGCTGGGGTGGTGTAGTTGGGGCTGGTCCTGCTTCTGAGTGTGGGGGGGATAGACGTGACCCCCCTTCCAGCCCTCCTTGTCTCGCGACTTGATGAGTCTTGGCACTCCCAACACGTTGCTTTGAGGCGAAGCGGGTTTCCAGGCCAGGCGAGCTGCTAGCCCAGGTGACGTTTAATCCTAAACCCTCGGCCTGGGGCTCTGGCAGGGATGGAGCCGAGCGTGTAGAAGAAGCCGCCGGGTCGTAGGGGTGGGGTTGGCAGCTCGCAGCCCCTCCGGCTCTGGAGATGCCCTCCTGGGGGGTTATGAAATGCCCTTCGTTCTCTGGTGAAGCTGCGGACGTGCCGTGGGATCCACATAGTCACCTGGGGTTATACAAGAGGTTTCTCAACCATCATTTAACTAAGAGATTTGCTGGATGGGGGGAGGATTAAACTACTGGAGTTGCAGCTTTTAAAGAACTGGCAGAACTAGAGACCGTGCCCATCTGCGCTTTTTTTAAGTACTGCAAGAGGAAGTAGAACTAAAAAAAAATCCTGAGACATCTGCACGCCCACCTGGTCAGGAAATGCTGTGGCTTTACCTGGGTTTTTTTAAAGTAATTTTAATATGGGAAGGTGGTGGTGGATGTTATGGACCAAGCGGATGTAGTTGGGAACAGTAACCAAGTTTCCTTGTTACAGTCTCAGTGCAGTAGTTCCTAACGCTGAGTGTAAAATCTTCCACTTTCCTGGAGGAATATCGTGATGAAGCTTTAGATTTTGTTCGTCTCAGAAATTTAAGAGGCCTGGAGTCTCTGCTCTTCAATCCAGACAGGGCTGTATCCCTGGATACAAAGCTTGCTTCTAGGCTACGCAACCACTGAATCTCTTAACCTGGTGGCTCAGCCTCTTTGAAGGCAATTATTTACCCAGGCCAAAATAAGCATGAAATACTTCTGAAATAAAAGTAAGGCATTTTAAAGAATTAAAACTTCCAATTTTTCCTTGGACTAAGATGAGCAGTAGAGAGAAACGTGTGTGTAACCATAGTTTTGCCTCGTTGATGGTGCATTTGATAGGTTTCTTACTCGGGCTCTGCAACAAGAGTAAACAGTCCGGTAAAGCTGGTACAGACTGGACGTGTGCTATCCTGGTGATACTTGGATATTTTGGAGCAGGATTCCTCCGCTGCGTTGCATGGTAGTGTCAAGTCTGTTTTCACTGGCATGCCGTGGAAGTCGGTATCCCTCAAACTGGACTAGTTAATGTAGGACTTGCTCTTCCTAAGCATAGCAAGTGTTATTTATGTGCTTCGAATCAGTAGGACGATGGACCGGTCAAGGTCTTAAACTGCTTATCAGTAAATGTGGAACAGAGAAACTTCCTTGTGACGCAGTGTGTGGGTAGGATCAGGGTCTGTTATGCTGGCACGGTGCATGTGGGAACTGCACTGTTGTTGGTGGAAGAGCAGACGGCTAGCTCTTCCTGCTCTTGCACTTGTGTTAGGACCCCAGGTAACTTGCACCCCGCCAGAGTTCAAATACTAACGTTTCTGCGCCCTCGACAAGGAAGACTTCCCCCGAGACTACGCCAGTGAAGGGGGAGCGCATGACTTGCTTTCACCAGCATCTCTGTATAGACGCGTGGGCTGCACTTCTTCCGTGCTTCTGTGCAAAGTGTGAAATAAAGGAAACTAGCGGGAGCAGTTTGCTACTTCTCGTGTCAGCTGAGCCTTTTGGTGTCCAAGCTTTTTGTTTGCTAGTGCTTTTCTTGAACTAAACAGCCAGTATTTTGTGCTCAGTGGGAACTGCCAAGAGACGACCAAAATCATGACTCTGACTCACTTTAGACACTTAAGGGGAAGATGTGTCCAAGTTACACTTTTGTGTCTCCGTTTTAGCTCCTATCAAGATGTCTTCAGGAAACGCATTCATTGGGAAACCAGCTCCTGATTTCCAGGCTACAGCTGTCATGCCGGATGGGCAGTTCAAAGACATCAAGCTTTCTGACTATAAAGGTAAATCTGTAATTGTGATTGGGAGTGGGGATAGGATGGATGTTCTACTTGGTTTAAATCTGTTTTAAATGCATTTCTGAAAACAAAGCTGCCTGTGATCCTTGAGACATTGAACTAGTTCAGTGGTTCTTGCCCCTTTTTTTGTACCGGGACCTACATTGATGCCCAGTCCCCAGGGTGTGGGGCAGGCGGGACCCCAGGCAGCCCCTCGCAGGCTGGAGCTCTACCAGTCTGCAAGGGAAAATGCATGGTTTCCCATGGTTTTTTTGTTTTGTTTTGTTTTTTCCTGTTAAAATTAATTTTTCTCTTGACGTTTCTTCATGACCCTTTCACTCTTGCAACCCTCTTGTGGGTTGTGACCCCCGGGTTGAGAAACGTTGCCTTTGTGCTGTGAACGGTTGCAGATTGAAGCATGCTTCCAACAGGGGAGCAGGCAAAGCCAACATCTCATTGTAGCAAATCTCAGTAACCTCAAACATTAACGAGCGCTGAACTTGCCCTAAAGTTTAGGGTGGACTTATTTGTGTTGCTTATTACCCGAGAGCAGAGCTGATGCAATGTCTCAAACACCGTGGGAGAGCAAAACCAGGTCTCTCGTGACTTTATTTTTTTTTGGCAATGGAAGTATTGTAACTCTTCCAGGTTGCTAATGAAGAGACTTTCTCTAGAGTCCTAGAAAAGTGACTACTCTTGCAAAAGGAGGAGAAACTTAAAGTCTAAAACTCTGCAATACTTTGTTTCCTATCTCTGCACTTTTTTTTAAGCGCATGAGAGAGCTCATGGACACAATGTATCAATTAACTAATACATACAGTAAAAGGTGGTTAATCAGTCACTGGAATAGCTCTAGACTATGGTCTTACTGGTGAACTGAATCCCCACAGTAACCCTACTAATGTGTACACACAACGCACTTGTGGCTGGATTAACCCTTTTATGGGCCCTAGGTGAACAAACTTGTGGGTTCAGGCCAGTCAAGATGCTCCCCCCCTCCCCAACCCCGGTGCTGCCGCCTGTGGGGAGCAGGGCTTGGACCCGCTGCCAGGTGTGGCGGCAAGGCCAGCAGAGGGGAAGGGAGGCGGATGGGGCCATTTGCATTGCTACGGCAGAGGAAAGGATCAGGCCCCCTTGCAGCTCGGGGGCTCTAGGCTTGTGCCTAGCTTGCCTATGCGTTAATCCAGCCCTGACGACACTTAGACTCATTCATTGTCTGTTAAAGCAATATCATATATATGCTTGAAGAGATGATGGTGTGTGTGTGTGTGGAAGAGTGCTTAACAGTACAGTTTTACTACAAAAGTTCAATGCTCACTATCCACAAGTCACATGATTGTGATGGCATAAGATAATCGGCCAAACTTCTATCTTGGGAAGGAGTATAAAACATTTTTTTTTTTCCTCCTGCAAGAAGGAATGATTAGGCACATGGTCTTGCTGAGCTAAGCTGAAGCTAAATCCAGAGATGCAGCAGCTAGCTCTAAATCTAACAAAGCAAGCTGCTGCATCTCTGCCTGGGGGGGGGGGGG